CGTCGACATTAGCGTAACCCAATGTGCACGTGGAGGTTGCCGTTCGGATTTTGCACATCGTGTGGCCCTGAAGAGGGCCAGTGGTGTATTCACATCGAACATACTGGGATATGATGGGAAGAAGGCTGCGTGACTTGTAGGACCACACGATGTGCAAAATCCGAGCGGCAACCTCCACGTGCACATTGGGTTACGCTGATGTCGACGGTAATGAACGAAAATACAAGGGTTACTTCAAAATGCTGTAACTTGGCGAAAAAAAATCGCAGTAACTTCTCTTTTTTTAAATTGAAGGGAAAAGTACACACTTTTTGATACTTCGAGCAGAATTAGCGAGGAAAAATTTCCTACGCCCGGGCACCTAGCCAAAGTTGGTTATTTTTAGGTAAAAACATGTCCTTACATTTTAAAAGCTACAGCAGCGCAGATGCATTCGAAGAAAAATCTGGTGACTAGTTTTTGAAGCTGAAAGTGCAAGCTTTAATTTAAAAAAAAAACGATCTTGCTGTCGAGGCTTGAGCCTCGTGTTGGTGGCTTGTGCCGTCGCGTATGTGGACGCGGTTTTTCCTGGCCTGGCTTGTGCCGAATTTTCTGTACGGTGCCGTGTATGAGGCCCCGTAACTTACCGTGGTAAGGTTGATTAAGACCTTCGTGTTTATTCGAGAATAGTTTATTTGATATACAAGAATTAGCTCGCGCTGCTTCTCTCTCAGAGATCCTGATAGGACTACTGACTCTTCCGTTACGAAAAAGACAGCGGTGGGAGAAAGTACAAAAAAAACTAAAAACTAAACGGGCGCTGGCGCGAGTCGGACACGAAAATACCTAGATAGGCGGGGAACGCGGGAAACTGAACGGAGCGCGCGTAGCGCGGACACTTGCTATGATGATTTTTAACGGAGATATCGTCGGTAATGTCGAAAACACAAAGGTTATTTCAATGAGCTGTGATTTGGAGAAAAAAAATCGTAGGAACTCCTTTTTTTATTAATTGAAGAGAAAAGTATACACTTTTTGATACCGTAAGCAGAACTGGCGAAGAAAAATTACTACACTCCGCACAGTGCGTCAAAGTGTGCAATTTTTTAGAGAAAAAACATGATCATGATTTTGAGAAAGTTCCGGGAAATGGGAACAAATTCCAATAAGAGTTTCTTAAAGTAGAGGCTTTGCCCTATAAAATGAAAACAAAACTTTTCAATTCGACCAGTTTTCGCGAAGTTACGCTTATTTGAAATTCGCCAAATTTTGATGTAAGTTTCTTGTTGCGTTAATTTTTTTGACCAGTGTATTTCAGATTTTGCAAAGTTTAGCATTTGGCAGCCGAAACATAGAACTTTTAATGCACTTTTCCATTGCAGCAATCATTCTTGTATATGTATTCATAGCCAACTATGCTGGACAAGAAATTACAGATCACAATAATCATGTATTTTCTACTGCGTGAGAAACAGTTTTGTAAAATATTCTCAGTTATACATATACGTATAGTATACACGCGCACAATATTATAATTATTAATTAGTTATTAATTTATTACTTATTACATACATTCGATGATTATTTTTTCCATAGATATAACGTTCGCTGGTATACAGCACCGTTATCCATACAGAAGCTGATATTATTTGTATTACAAAGGGGTAGTAAATCTTTCGGTATAAACATCGGCGGATTGTTTATAGCATCTTTTCAATGTTTCGCCTC